TGTCTGTTTTTACATTCCTGTATCCCACTTTTCAAATTCAAGTAGTCCGCTTTATATCAAAAGTTCATACTGTGTTTGATTTATTAATATAATGAATTAAGCAACTTTTCAAGTAAATTAAGTTAAAAGAGCCGATATATTGCTTAACATTAACGCAATAATTAACAGATTTCTTGAGATTTAATATAATCACTTTGTTATCTGTATGAGAATAAATACTAATAGTATAGATTTGTTTGGAAAAATTTGATTCAATAGCAATCTACTTTGCATTTGCAATTCTATATAATAAAGCAAAAATTGCTGAACTTTCTCGGAATATAATACTTCATAACTCTCTATTCTTTGGAAAAGTAATGCAAAAAATATTTCAATGACATTGGGTTTAACACATAGTACCTCCAAGTAAGTTTTGTTCTGCATTCAAAGAAATCTTAAGCAATCCCTATCGATCCTGGAATATAAAATAATTTATTTAAATTAATATGAGCTCTTTAATGCTATCCTAATCAAACTAATTCGAATTAGATTTATTAGAGTATTGTATATATTTTTTCCGAATTATACATTGCAGCCGGTCATATTTAGTTCACATCAGATTTTATTTTACTTAAGATATTTATTATTCATATATTGTCCGACTTTGTTTTAACTAAAACTCATTATATATACTATGCATATACCTATATTTACATATATTTTTTACCTTAATTAAATTTAATTGGCTATGAAAAAATATAAAATTTTTGTAATTAAATTTTATTTCTTATTGCACCGTAATTTTTAAATGTAGATATAGATGAATACTATCGTAATGTATATACGCGTGTGTATATGTAAAAGAAGACCTAATTAAATTCTTGTACTTTCTTAATGACATTGTTTGTTAGTTTGAAAACTAAATGTATTTATTTTAAATTACGAAATTTTGTGTATATGTATAAAGTGTAATGTACCTTATTACACGTATTTAAATATATATATAATATTATATGTTATTTGCAACTTACATACCTATATATACAAAAAATGAAATTTCTTATCAGACATCGTGAGCATTCGTATGCAAAATTTTGTAATTTGTTATTTAAGTACTCAACTAGAATATAAGACGTCTGATGAGAATTTTAAATTTTTTGGAAAATAATTGATTATTAATTTATATATAATTGTATTTTTAAAAATTTTAAAAAATTTGTAAATTTTAACGAAATTGAAGAGTATTAGTGTAGATGTCATATAAAAATTTATTTAGTAGCACAATTTATTTTTAAATATCCAAAATTAAAATAACTCAATAATAAAATTTTTTCGAATTTTGTATGTATTTTACCACTCTCGGAAATAATTATAAATAGTTAGCCCTCTTTGGTTCCTGACAGATTTGAGGAAATACATTTTCAAAACTAGTTTCAAACACTGTTAAAGCAATATAGTATTCAAAATGAAATTGAAAATGAACTTAAAATAAATCTTTTTAATTAATCATTTTTATACAATATTAAAGATATTTTAAATTGTGCATAAAAATTGAAATTACTTTTAAAGATCTTAATGTTAATCAAAAATTTGTTATAATTATGAAGATTTTTAATTAAATTTTTTTAATAGAACAAAACAAACTACAAAAATAGTTTAATTTCTTACAAAAGCTTTGAATATTCAAAAGCAAATATGTCTACAAGGTGACTTACATAGTGGTTGGTACAAGTGCCTTACCTAATGATTGGTAAATAAATGAAGATGTAATTCAAATAGAGAAGCATTTAAAATATCAAAATTTGTTCTTGTTTTTGATTTCGTAAACCTGTTAAAAAGTCTATAATATCTATAGTATCAAATATTGTACAACACAAGTCAAAAAACCACATACGGCTGATCTGCTGTCGAATAAACACAATTTGAGTTGAAAGATATATTTATTTATTAAATGAATATATCTTAAACATGACATAAAAGAAAATCTATATATCAGTTTGATCTATAGATAACCCTTGTACTCTATAAGTAAGATAGATATAAAGTTTTAAGCTGGCTGGAGATTTATTAATACCCATTTTATAAACAAATTTCATTTCATCAACCCTAGCATGAATTTCGTTCGTAACTCTGATATTCGGAAAATTACGATTCATATTGTCAATTCTGAATTACTAAAATTTTACTCCGAACACTCGTAATGGAGTAAAATATTATAAAAATAACCTTCAAAAATCTACAAAAGAAATAATCACACGTAACAAGCATTTTAAAGAAAGTGGTTGTTTTAAATTTTCAACAAATTTCTAGTTATTTTTAGCACTTTTCCAAAAAATTTTTTGAAAAAAGTGCTTATTAGTTTCACTCTGTCCGTCCGTCCGTCCGTCCGTCCGTCCGTCCGTGTGTCTGTTTACAAAACTTCTACACCTTTGAAGATAGAAAGCTGAAATTTAATACGTACATAGATCTTTACTAGAAACTTATTTCCGTAGAACAAAATTTTTACCTATCTCCCCCCCTCTAGAAGTTATACCCCCCCAAAACCCTAAAAATGGCCTTTTTTAAATATTTGTTGCAATGTAACCATAAGCATTTTTGAAATTTTGCAAACGCAGAAAGGCAGTGGCTTGCTTCCCCTTGCGCGGTATACTATAGTTCAACTTAAGAAAAACAAAATGGCCGCTCAAATTTACCGTTATTTAAAGTCCTTTTTTTCCAAATTTTTGATTTCGTTTTTCTTCTAGACCCCTGACTGTACATGCTTGAAATTTTAGGAGCTTTTAGATATTAATAAATAGTTCATTTTGTTAGAAGAAAATTTTTTTCCATCTCCACCCCCTCTCAAGTTATCACCTCTTGAAATTCGTAAAATTTGAATTTTTGACACCTTATATTTCCGAAACCGCAAGCTTTTCCAAATTTTTATAAACGCAAAAAGCTAACGGTAAATTCCGTGAAATGAAAAAATATAATTATTTTTCTTAACTCACACAATTAACCCTTAAAATCGAGCATTATGTTAACCCCTTTTTATATTAATTTTTGCTTTATTTCAGACTGCATATATGCGTCATCCTAAATATATGCAATCCTAGAAATAGTTTTGTATATGAATGAAAATAATTTTAATAGTGTGAAAGGTATACATAGACTGTATTTAAAAGCAGAATTTTCACTTGTTGAAGGGAAAAGTGCTACAATACAAACCATTGGTTTGACCCAACTTTATTAAGAATATTTTCCAGTATTAAAATTATAACTACTTTAATATTATGATTTTGACTTTTCATCAATAACTTATACCAAATACACTTATTTCATGTAATTTAAATTTTAATATTAATTAAATACTAAATAAATGAACTGTACTGCATATGGTTTACCATAATTGAGCGTTTAAATAAATTTATATTGAAATAAAAGTCTTTAAAGAGAAAATTAAAATAATTTATTTGTAAAACTGTAATAAGATCAAAACAATTTTCTTTTAAGAAAAATTCTATTTGAATCCTTTACAAATGAGAACTTGAAAAAAAAAATGAAAAAAGACTTTTATAACCTAATGTCCTAGTTTAACGAAAAATAAATTGAATCAAAAGAAAATTAAAAATTATTTCTTGTACGCACATGTATACATATGTATGTATATTTTTGAAAATATTATCCATACATTCTTATATACATATATAATTATGTACTAAATTCATGTATTTTATAATATAATTTACTAAAAGGAATAATTATTATAAATAACACAAATATATATATATGACCTTTTAAAGTACTAATTAATTTATGGAATGCATACAGGGTAAATGCAAAATGAATGTCATAGTTTAAAATGTTAAAAAAAATTTTAAAATTATATTATATTTTAAAATTTTATAAATAAAATTTCTATCGAATAAATATAACACAACAAATACAATGCAATGTGGGAAAAGAATGATTATATACGAATGTAAGATATGGAAAATAGGTTATTCAATTCTAAAATTTTCATTTTTGATATTGTAAGCACTTATAAAACAAAAGCATTTTGCATTAGAATAAAATATTTAAATCGAAATGGGTATAAATATTGAATACAATAAGGAAGGTTATGTGATGGCACCAAATTTGATCAGCCGAGTTTTTAACGAAAATAAATTTCTTTGTAATGGAGAAGTGCAAATATACACTTTTTGGAGAGATTTCGTTGGTCCGTCGGCTCCATGTAATGTAATTATTAAACAAATCACCGCGGCCGTGAAGCAAAAATTTGAATCTATTGTCGTCCATTAACGACAATCTCTACGACTGTTTCAAAAGTTCATAATAAAATACTTAAATTTTATAAGACAATAATTAAATAATAGCTATGATAGAACGAAATTTTCATTTGTGTTAGGTGCCAGTTACAAATCAGACTAAATCTACTTTTACGAGCATTTATACATCAGATTCTATTTATACTTTTACACCAAACTTTTGACATTATTTTGTTATCTACATCAATTTTTTTAATATTTGTAATCTATAATCTGGCAACAACATTTAAAAAACAAAAATTAACTGATCGAGACAAAACTTTTTTAAAAATTTATTCTCCGCTATGCTATTTTTAAAAATCTGACAGGAAATCGGATTTTTCTATTCTTTTCATCAGATTTTTTTCTAATGTAAAACTTTGATTACACATTAGATTTTCATCATCATCGTAGTTTAAATATGATGTGTAACAGGCACCTTGTATGTGTGCATCTCCTCTCCTTCTCAAGATATAGCCATACGAAGACCAAAACTTTCTATTCAAATGCATGTGATACGTAAGTACATCTTTTTCAGAATGTAAAATTAATTTTTTAAATTACTTGTGATTCTAAACCATTTGATATGAAATTTCTTGTTTTATGAACTAGATTTCTATATATGAGCTTATTAATTTAATAATTTTATACTTTATAATCAGACCACATATATAAATATACCACAATAACTTTCTTTACTTCACACAATTTTAATAAAAGTTACAAACTCAATTAAAATTTTTATTATAATTTTATTTACTATTTTTTTTTTCAATTTATAAAAATTTCTTTCTTAAAAAAATATTGTTAAAATTATAATTAAAAAACAAATATTTGTAAAAATATAGAATTGAAAAAATAACATATTATATACATACATGTATATGTATGTATATACATTAATAAAATAATAAACTAAATAAAGCACTAGTAAAACAAAATAAGAACTATAAATATTTTTTTTTGAGAATTTAATTGAAAAATATAAACAAAAACAACAACAATAATATACACAAAATATACTTACACATGCACAATATATTTTTTTATAATATCATCTACATATAGAATGTTTTAAATATATAATATTTAATTGATTATATAATATATTTATTGAATTCTTCTTCATCTACTATGTTAAGCATTTAATCGAAATTTCTCTAACATTTTTTGAAATGCTGTCTGATTTCCGTTGACTTGAACTTTTCCCTACAATATAATTAAATTAATTTAAATATATATTATATTCAAATTACTTTATATAAATGTACATACATATATTATATATAACAATATTTTTTAATATTAATTTTTACTGCACATTATCTTGTGCATATATATTTATATAACATAATATAAATACCTACATAGATTATTCTTATATTATAAAATACAATAATATTGATGCATTTTATAATATACATTGTATTCACTATACCAACCGTTTCAATAAGATTATCAAAAGAAATTTGTTTAGTTCCAACCAAATAAAAATCATCATCTGAAACATTAATTTCGACATCAGGATTTTCTATAGAACCATCAAATACTTTTAGATTTTTTAAATCTAACACTATATACAGATACATATACATATGTATGTATATAAAATACAAAAAAGAAAAAGAAAAAATAAAATTAAATGAAAGTTTTTACATCTCATAAAATTTAAATAAATATGCAAAAAGATTAAAATGGAAAATTCAAATAGAAATCCCATTAATTTCATGATATATACGATTATATATATATACACATATATGTGTCTATATAATATATATGAATATATTCATCTGTGGCAATAAGACAAAACTGTCTAAATATTGTTTCTAAATTAATGCGGCAAGAGACAAGTTGTTATCAAAATTTATATTGGTACGTATATATATTTTAGACACGTATATGAAGCCTCCCGTAAATGCCAAGAACCAATCGCGTCAAACATTTCGAAATTAAGTTACCTATATTTTTCTATAATATTTATAAGATCTTAGAGTTATTCGCATATAGAACCAAATTTTTCTCGATTCTAAATTTAAATATTTAGAAGAATATTATAGATATGCAATATATTTTTGACAATATTATTTTACTCATAACAATTCCACTATATTGCCGATAAAATAGCAGTGTTTTATGAACATATTTGATTTGCAACTTTTATTTATGGACACAAATTCATAATTAGCATTCTAATACTCTGTTTCTGAAGAGGCCTATAATGCTATAAGTGAGCTTTTAGACAATTTTGCGTTATTGCCACGAATAATAATATTTTTTTATTGTTTTTTTCTTATTACTATTCATATATCACTTACAATAAATTCATATCAATATAACACAATTTCTATATAATTTAATATATTAAAATATTGATATATGTATTTGAAATAAACAAAAGAATTAAAGAAAAAAATAAAATGAAAAATATTTTATAAATTTTTTTTTATTCTCTTTTTTTTCTTTATTTTCTTATCTCATACTTCAAATTTAATAAAAAAATAAAAAAAAAAACACTTACCAACACTTTTAATAAAATTACCATCAGCATCCTTAAAATGAAAGATAAATATATTTGTGAGTGTTCTATTCGAAGGATCTGATTCATTTAATTTTAATTGAATTCTCTCCAAAATTGAATCGCTTTTCATTTTGATAATTTAATATGCAACACCAGTTGTTGTTTTTTTTTTCCTATTATAAATATTGTAATAATATTTATACTGTTATAATTGTATTTTTAATATAGACTAGTATTTTAATAACTAAAATGAATTACTATATGGCTTTTATGTTTTATAACGATTACAATAAATGTTCTACGTTGTAGAATTAATGACATTGTATGCAGTTATGATACACTATATTACAAGCTGTATATATCGCAAATATATACTTAAAAGGGTGATTTTTTCGCAGTTTGATTTTTAATTTTTTTTTCATATACTTAACACTAAACTAAATTTATTTTGCAAAATTGTTGCGAGTACTTTAAAATTATTTAGCAAATAATATTAAATATGAATGCATTGTGGGCGAGCAATTAATGCATTTATATGTTTTAGATTTATAACACCAATGGGCAGTCAAAATTATACAATATTATACAATTTGACGAGCCTTTATATTTCTATAATTAAAACCGTAATTGATTGAACATATATTGTTAAATATCTCGAATGAAGTTTCTATACGCAAAATTATCTCAAAATTGAATATTAAATTTAATTCGGCTGAAACTAGGCAACCGTTTGCAACGCAATCATATTTTAAAAGTACAAGTGATGTTTAAATTAAAATTATATAAAAATTAATATTTTCCATTTTTTTAAAATTTAAAAATCAATTACATAAAAAATTCACCCTATACAATGATATTTTGAAAAGAGTTTACAGAAAAAAATGTAAAACATACTAGGTATAATAGAATTGTGTTGTAATACAATTGGATCTTGATTGACGACGATTGGACGTTTCGAGTTATACTGAATTCACTTAAGGGATTATCAGAGATATCTATATTTTGCACAAATAAAAAAAAATATAATACAATAAAAAAATACGTTATCGTATATTTCGTATTTACAAGTATAAATAGGTATGAAGTATTACAGAAAATAAAAAAATTTCTCAATTGCTTTTTTCTTTTGGTTTTGTTTTTTTTCTTATTTTTTGTCTTTATTATTATTATTATTGAATTCAATTGCTATGCTCTTCAAACTCAATTGTGGTCAATATATTATGATGATAGTATGATGACAGTAAATGGTCAGTACATTTACATAATATATATAGTATAACAATATAGAAATAATATTGTAGATTTAAATAAAATTCAAAAAAAAAAAATTACAAATTGAAATCAATTAAGTTAATTTGCAACAGGTATATTACAATTTCTACGTACGTATATATATATTCTTATAAAAATCTCTTGAAATTTTCTATATGTTCTCTTCAAATATTCTATAGAATTTTATGCATACTCAATTTATAAATATTATATAATAATAATAATAGATTCTTTATAAAAGTGTTACAGAAGATTATCTTAATGTATATATTGGATTGTTCAATTATTATATGAAGATGAAGATTATAAAAAAAGGTGAAATAGATAAAAATAAAACATTTTGGAATTATTTAATTTAATAATGAAAAAAAAAAATATTTTTTTTTTATTCGGTCACCAATAAATTTACATATTAAGTAATTTATATACGATTTATTCTGGTATAAATTTTTCAATATAACTCCTGCGATACTTTGTTAATTGAAGTAAATTGATAATATAATTATTACAGCATTTTGGAAAAAATTTCAAATTTATAATAATCTCTGTTTTACAAAACTTGATTTTAGATGAAGGAACAGCTTATGAGCTATTGCAGAGAAAATTAATAGAAACCAAAGAGGTATTTTAAATTTTTTGCAACATATTGAAAATTATGAGTCCAAAAAGAAATTCAGCCTCGTCTAATAAAAGCTACATTTTCTGAAACTATAGGTATTATTAGAAATTATTAATTATTCAATATTACTTTGATATGCTTAAAATACGGATTGATCATTGAGATTTAAGAAAGTCATAGACCTAAGCAATAAATTATACTTTCTCTCTTCTGTTCTCTGGAAGAATCCTCTATTAAAATTTACACCCCTACAAATATGGTCTGCTATTGTAAAGTTGATTTATTTAATAATTCTGTTGAAACGATTTATATAACTCACCCTCTTCACAACTGCATCGTTTCTTCTCAATTCAAATATTTCCCAGATCAATTTGAATATTAGTTTAAGGTTCAAATATCATTAGGTTTTAAATTATCACCCATTCAACTTATAAATTCAATTTTTGTATACTGCGATGCCACAAAAACTTTCTAATTTGTGTCACTCATTACTAATCTGCAATAATAATTTGGAATATTTTGCTAGTATTAAACGATTTCAAGAATTTTCTGGAAATAATTATTACTTATAATAAATTAATACTGTGTCTGCACATATAAAAATTTCTATAATGGAAACAAATTGAAAAGGCACTGTTCTTTATTCGCTAATATTTCTATTTAATTCTATTATTATTACCTTTAACAATTAAATCATTTTTTACAAGGTCTTAGAAAATTTTCATAATCTTTGTTTTTGTATTATAAATTAAAAGAATTTAACAGAATAAATAATATTTTACTTTCCCAATTTAAAAAATTCTTCTATTTTTTTCTGCACAAATTTCAAAACTTTTTCTAAGCAATTCTTTATTCCACAAATTTCTTTTTTGGCAAAATTAAATCAAAACAATTATAAGGCACATATGTATTTACCAATAAACCTACACACTTATTATGTATATATGTAAATATGTAAATAAAAATCGAATTAAAACCTGTACAAAATTTTTAAAAAATGCCGGTTGTCACGTTCTCGTAAATAAATTTTTATATTGTTGTCAATTAGAAAGTATAATATATTAAATTAGTAAAGTGTGTATACATGTATATTAAAAGAGGTTTTGGAGTCAATTAATATTTTCCGGTACTTCTTAAAAATATTACACTTACTTTTATATTTTAAAAGCATGAGTTCTTAACTTTTAAACAAAATATATTTGGCAATTGTTCTTACATTTTATATATCAATTTTATATATTAATATTAAGGACGGAATCCCTATATAAAAAATATTCAAAATTCCTTAAGTTTTGGTTATAATTTACACATAATATTTTACATGTATTTACATATTCACATATCATTGACAATATATAGTTGTCGAATTATACAATTAGTATTTCTAAAAAACCATATACACATAGGAAAATATTTTGCGATCTTTCTATAACTTCCATAAACTTCCATTATTTTAATATTGCAAATTGTAAATTCAAAACCAAATTAAATCTAACAAAATACCAAATATTTAACTGTGAAATTTTACACATTTCTTAAACCTAATATATATTTTGTCATATTTATATACTACGTTCTTATTATTGTATGGTATCTTACGGCATTTAAGTCATATTATTCCTGTTTACCACAAGTTGTTCAAAAAGTAAAACAAACTACTTAAATACCTTTGAATACCTTTCAAAATATGTACGAAATGATATTCAAAAGATTTTCAAAATGATAAAATTATTTTCGTTTTATAAAATTTGATTTTGCAAGTTTTGCAAAATAATGTTTCTATTGATGTAGATTAGATTATACAAAATTCAATATTAAATAATATTTTGCCTATTAGTTTGTATGTATGTGTTCAAAATATACTTTTCATTTCAGTATTCTAAAGATTTTAATTTTTCCTTCATATCTTATCATTTAGAACAGTCAATATTTTATTGTACAAATAACTTTTTTCACGAATACTTTATATATTTACGTTACATGTACAAATTTAAATGTGCATTTGTCATTTTATTTACAGAATATCCTTGATATCCAAATTGCAATGAAAAAAAAACTTGTTACTAAAGTTTAACTGCACCAAGGTATTATTACAATAGTAAAACTTAAAAAAAAAACATAAATTTAATTTTTAACTTTAATATTATGTGACATAATAATTCATTGGCCACAAACTCGAGTCAAGACAAAAATGAGAGAATATGTATACAAGTAAATTCTCCGTTTATATGCTCACAAATTTTCGTAGGTGTCTACGACTTTTGTAGTCGGACTTATTGTCAAATACAAAAATCGCTTAAATCGAAATAGTATCTTGCAATGTGCACTTGCAATAATCGCCTAAATCGATTTAGAACAAAGAACATCTTATTTCTTAGTTTTTTGACAGATCACTCATTTCGAGATTGATTCTTATTGCAAATCAAAATTAATGACAAATTTTTTATTATGTATGAATTTTTAAAACCGTTTATATCGCGAATTAAGCTTTTATTGCAAAAATAAATTTAAGTTTATTCAAATACTAACTTGATTTATGATTTTGACATTTTATTGTATTCATTAAAAAAATACTATATTATAAAACCAATTTGAAAACTTTTATAATTAACAAATCTTAACAAATTCTTCCTTAATACTATAAGCTAGATTTTTACTAAATACAATTAAATTTTTTAGCAATTTGTATACTACAATATACGTCACAGATATATACATTGCATAATACAAAATTAATATTGCATTTTGGATATCAGGGTATATTTTATTCATCAATATCATACAAGAATGCATATTATGCATATGTATACATTACTTAAATATCTTTATATACGTAATATCGTTGAATAATATTGGAAATAAAATTGAGAAGATTTACTAAAAATTAAATTTTATTTTTCTTCTTCTTATCTAACTACTTATACAAATAGCTATAGGTATACTATAAAAAATATTTAAAAGTTTTGTCTAAAGACATTTTAATTTCTTGAATTAGATACTCGTAATATATATAGATATATATATTATATAATTTAGGGACTTCTATTCAAAAATCTGAAATATTTCTTATATTCAGTTATATCTATATATATACGTATATACACATAGTTTAAATAAGCACACATCACTTTAATTAAAATATTCAATTTAATTTTTTTTTTCTTTCAAATTTTATTTATGGAATTGTTTTTTCTTTTTTTCTTTCCTATATAATGTAATTAAATTCATTATTAAATCTTATAAATATATATATAATTCTAATACTATAAATAATATAATTTATGTAATGAAATATTATGCACATATAGCTACATGTACCAAAGTATGTATGTATACAAAAAAAATTTTTGTTTCATTGAAAAATAAATTTTATAATCAATATAAAATAATTCATGAATTCATTAAAAAAAAAAATATCAATAAATGTATGTATGCATGTGTGTACAATAAAACTTATAAATAAATATTCAAAAATAAATATTATTTTAAAATTTTATATTAAATCTAACACATAGTATAATAAATATAGCTAGTATGTACATAATAGTAAAATATAATATTGGATAATGCGAAAAATATGTATATAAATATAATATGATACAATTGTTTTAAACTTAATATTAAATATATTATTATACAATTTAAATAATTACAATTTTAAAAAAAATATAAAAAATCTTATGATGAAAAAAATGTTAATCACACAAATTGCTTTGAAAAATTTTACTTACATTTTAAATATTAAAGTGAAATTTAATCAGAAAAAAAATATAATGGAAAAATTTTTTTAAAAATTTTATAATTCTAATAAAGTATGCGGTAAATCTAAATAATTATTATTATTATTATTACTTGTATTTGTTATTGTATAATTCCAATTTATATTAAAATTATTATTTTCATTATTAATACAATCAATTTCATCCCGTTCATCTAAATTTTCGATCATCGATGACGAAATTATTTGTGATGAATTATCAATTTTAATACGTTTTATTAATGTTGTATCATTATTACAATAATTATTATCATTTAATCTTTTATTATATGAATTTTTTTCA